CTTTGTTGGGGTAAAGTGTAAGATTATTCAGACTAGATAGTCTAGACATTTTAAAGCATTTCACCTGTTTTGAGTGCTTTATTTGCAGTGTGCAAAGCTACAGTCATCGGCACAAGTTCAAGCTTGTGCGGCGTTTGGTGCGGAAAAGCGGCAAGTCGAGCATCCACCAGAAGAGCTCCACTGAGCGCTCCTTTCGCTTCCTCCTTGATCTGTCCAACACGCTGATCGAGAGCTCCTGGATATGGATTTTGTTGGTTCTCTCCGCCGCCTTCGTTCTCACCTGGCTGATGTTTGCTGGCTTTTGGGCCATCATTTCCATTGAAAACGTGGACGCCTCCAATGGAACGAGCGAAAGCTGCTTGGAAGGTATTTGAAAATCCCGACTTTTCGTCAAAAGTGCTTCTAGGCATAAACGGTTGGTAGAACTGGAAGTGGTCAGCAGTTCTGTCATTTTCTGTTCGTATGGAAAACGATTGACGTTCTGAACCAAACGTCAAAAGCTCCTAAGTGGCTGACAGTAAACGTCAGGCGGGTGAAAAAATCGCGATTTTTGGGCTGTAAACACGGCGCCCGGTCGGCAAATTCGGCAAATCAGTGAGGAAAGCCTCCCTTGGAAGGATAATATGCGGGTTTTCACAAAAAATTGCGAAAAAAAATTATGCAACTGCGCATTTAACAACAAACTGGTTCGGCGACAGTCGAGTGCGCTCGGTAACTCAGCCAGCCACGATAAGTACCTACGTCAAAATCTGCGGTCCAAAGGACCAAATTCATCACGTCAAATCGACGCGATTGTCACAAAACGGCGCCCAAAAACGACAATTCTTGCTGTCTGATTCGCTTTCACCCTTTAACAACCATCCTGCAGTACACAAAATAATTAAAAAAAATGTTGAAAAATATTTTCAACAGGAATCGAAAGTTTCTCCGGATATCTGCTGTTTAGCATCGAGACGCAAACCACCGTGGGCTATGGAGGCAGATACATCAACGAATATTGTCCAGAAGCGATCATTGGATTGGTCGTCCAGTTGGTGGTGGGGGCGGCTGTGGGCGGCAGCCTCATTTGCATTGTGTTCCTGAAGATGGTCAGCCCGACCAAGAACCGCCACTCGATGGTATGCTTCAGCAAACAAGCAGTGGTGAGGTTTCGAGAGATCCAAATCACCCGAAAAAAATGCATGTTAATGAACCTTAGCAGCGCGCCCCTGTCTGGATGGCTTCTAAGAGCCATCCAATCTCCTAATTTACATCTGAGCCGCATCTTTCATCTTATTACGCTACCTTTCGCATTACAGATTTGTCAAAGGGACGGGGAATTATGCTTAATATTCCGGGTAAGGGATTACGACATGCGATACGAATGCCATACGAACATCGTCGCCTATTTGGCTGAAGAAAGGGCCGGGGAACTATCACTCAGGGCGCTCAAGCTGGAAAAGCCCGGCATACTAATTTGGCCGGTCGAGGTCATTCATAAAATCGACGAAAGCAGCCCGTTATGGGATCTTTCGGCTAAGGACCTCATCCTGAAAAGGTTAGTGGCTCAGAACGGCTCAAGCTCTCCTAGATGGTTTTCTGAGCAAATCTGTTCAATTTTATTGCAGTGTATGGCACAATCTCACGGCCACAGGCCCTGACCATTTCACTATGACTATGTGTGAATATGGCGTTCCCGATCATCAAACGCCCACTGGCGGCTAAATTATAACTACACTTTAACTAGTCAAATTTGACACTTATTTTGATTAGATGTCATTGTGACTTATTTTGTTTAGTTCTACCCTAAAGTGTCTAAGTATCGTTTTATGTGAGCAGTTCGCATCGAGCGACTCGTTCACCAAAGATACTGCACTAAAATTGAACTGTGTTTTTGCGAGTTTACCTACCGATGGTGGCGCTGCGAAACGTCAAATTACTCGTTCTCGAGTGACAGTTGACAGTTGTCAGACTGTCAGATTTTCTATCCAACGATGCCAAAACGAATTCTGTAACTCGAATGGTTCTTGAGAAACTTCGAAAAAAGCAGCGTCATGTTCAAGTGGATTTGCAACTAAAAAAAACCACGCAAATCTAAAACTTCTTGAATTCAAAGCCTTTTTTGAGAAAACTGCCAACATTTCCCCTTCCATGGATCACTTTCTAAAAAGGCCATTTATTTCTGTCTAGAATGATGTACAAATAAGCGTT